AAAAAAAAAAAAAAAAAAAAAAAAAAAAAAAAAAAAAAAAAAAAAAAAAAAAAAAAAAAAAAAAAAAAAAAAAAAAAAAAAAAAAAAAAAAAAAAAAAAAAAAAAAAAAAAAAAAAAAAAAAAAAAAAAAAAAAAAAAAAAAAAAAAAAAAAAAAAAAAAGATCTCCAGAATATGTAGCATCTCACTCCCAGATCCTAAGATTGAAAACTTCTGAACATGAAGAATAGATGGAATTTAGTCAGCAACACCTCAAAGATAAAACACAACTTCTCCACAGTTCTGGAGAGGCTCTACAGAAGAGAAGTGTTAAGAAGTACAGAAAAATAACACAGCCTGGGCTCAAAAATGAAGGAAAAAGTTGAAGGGAATTGAATAGAGAATGACAATACTCCTCTTTGTATGCTCAGTGCTGCAATTCCTTGCTAAGGCAAAACAAGTCTTATCAGGGTTCTTAGATCTGTGAATTCTCCCAAGCACTGTGTCACACACACCTGGCTTCTTCCTCATATTCCTGCACATTTTAGGGCCACATCACATACGTTCATCATTCCTCCCCACAACTTATTTCTTGCTTCATTAGCAGGGGTTAGTGTTAATATATTTAGCTGGGTGTTAGATCTTATCTGAGTCCTGTGAATGGGAAAAGGGAGAGGGCCTATTATATGGTTTTAGGTTTGCTCTCATCTCTGTCTCACCTCAAAGAGAAGGACATATGAGAGTTACAGATGCTCTGTTATTTATTTGTATTTATTTATTTATTTATTATTATTTATCAATTTATCTTATTTATTGCATGATCAGGGCATTGTCTCAATAAACAAGCAAACGGGAACATTGCTGCAGTAGCACAACTGGTTAACAATGCAGTTTTAAAGGCATAAATGTTCCTTCCATCCTTGTTTATGTCTAAAAAAGAAACTTTGAGCCTGCTGAACTTGTTTTGTTAAAACTGTCATCAGCCCAAGAGGACAGCAATAGTGCTAAAAGTTTTGTATTGCCAATGAGAAAATGTAAACCATTTGAAGAGACTGAGGAAAAAACTGATTCTGCTCACCTAATTATCATCTACCTTTTCTAGTTATCCTTCTTTCCTAATTTCCTTGCCCTGAATCCTAGCCTAAATTCTTCTTAGGCAAGTTCTGCTACTCTTAACAAGTTCTAACATGTCTGATCCACAGAACGGTGCAGAACCTGTCATCAACCAAATTAGTTTTGATTTACCTGTGTGAAAAAAAAAAAAAATCCCTTTCAGCTGCAGGATGTAATGGCTTAAAAATCTGTCATCTGGTGGCTTCATCAGCAGTGTCTGTGGTTGCCCCAGAACTCTTGGCCATCGGCATCTTCCAGGCTTAGGCAATCAGGCGCTGTGTTCAAAGTTCACTACACATCCCTGCACCGGCAAAAGCTTCACTGTGACTCTAAACCTTCCCACAGTCCTTACTATCAATAAATTCGAGTATCTTAAGAGGGTTTTTCCTATGTAATCTCTTGTATTCTTCCACTAAATGCTGAATTCCTGCCCTGCTGAATCAGCTAGCTAAGGAAACTTGAGGAAACAGCATTAGAAACTAAGCAATATTCCCTCTGAGCAGCCTGGCAAAGCCTACGAATTCTGACACTCAGACTGAGGTGTCCCATAGAGAGAGGAGTCATCATGTGAAAACAGATTCCTCCCAGAGTCGATACAGAATTACTCAATACATTTGATTAGTTCAAAATACACGCTTATTTCCACTTCAGGTGGCCTGGAGAGTTTGCTGTGCAGCCAGGAGCAGGGTTCAGCTTGACAACCACCGGTGCTTAGTGACAACTGGGGTGGACTGAGGTATCCAAGACTTCCATGGGAGACTTCAGACAGAACAGGCTTTTTAGGAGCCCTGCTGCTTCCTGGAGCAGGAGGCTCCAGGCAGAAAACTCCACGTGCCTAAAGTGGCACTTGATGCCTGCATTTATGTAACCGAATCCCACATTAGTTCTCTGCTGACTGTGAGGGGAGCTTCGACATCTGGTTCATATGGAGACACCTACACACTGAAAACCAAATTTAGGTGCCTTAATCTGCTGGCTGAATCCACCTCTTTACTTGGAGATTTCCTCAGCTGGCAGCTGCATTAGCATTATGTCTGAGAGGCTTCAGTGGACATTTTTCTCATTTCCATTTCTAATCCGCTCACGAGAACATTTATACTTTTGGCTTCTCCGATACCCTTGCAGCAATTTACAACTGTAACTCTAGAGAAAACATAGTTTCATTTCTTTTAAATTTATTGCCCGGTAATTTCACTCAGGACACCTAAATCTTGTGCTACAAGAAACACAGAATTCACTTTCTCTATGACAAGAGATTTTTAGGCCATTATCACATTCCTTCATAGTGTTTTGCCAAGTTAAACCATTTAAGTGTTTTAAAGTACCTTTTTTTTTTTTTTTTTTTTTTAAGGGAAGCACTTTCATACCTCAAATCAGTTCATTACTTTCTTCTGTACCTTTCTTAGTGCTTTAGGGAGAATTTCACACAATATTCAAGATGTGCAAGCACTTGTAGTTTTACAGAGCATCCCATCTTGTTCTTTATTCCTTATCTTAATGTACCTAACATCCTTTTGGCCTTTTCACCTACTCCAAAGCATGAGAGATTGATGTTTTCAACAGACTACCCATGATAGCTCCATGGATTCTTCCCTGAGTGCTCCCAATAAATTTAAGTGTATGAGGAATGATCTTGTTCTACAGGGTTTTCCTCAGTGCTGGGTAACAGTCTCTCTCTTCCATTCAGACATCTATTTTTGCAAAGGTATTTAGAATATAATCCCTTTGAGATCTCCACCCACTGTCAAATTTGATATATATGACCCAAGATTTCAAAGGTATTTGAGAAGAGAGAGCAGATCAGATAAACCCATATACATATTTGGAGTTGTCATTTGACCCTATTTCCTTTGGAAAACAGGCAAAAACCCCACATGAAGTGATCTGTAGTAGGAAGGAAGAGGTCTGAGAGCAACCAGACAAATGTCCTGCTTCCTCAAACACTCCAAATAAACTCTCCAGCACTTAAAAGGGGTTTTTTAAGCCATTCACAGCCATAAGCACATAGAAACTCTGGTAGGGGATGTGCAGACTGACTTCAGTCATGGACAGCCCGTAAGCAAACAATTGTAACAGGAAACCACCCAAACAAATGCAAGTTTTCCCATTGGAGTTTCCTCCAGTCTTCTCTATCACAGCTGATCAACAAGCTCTACACATCAGCCAGCGGAATTTGTTCTGAACAATTTGGAGTTAGAAAAATAATACACATTAATTCTGTTTGGTTTGGGGGACATTTACATCCTTTTTCACAAAGGAAGTGAGTCAGTCAAAGAAATGAGACAGGATTTAAGGAATACCTTTTGCAGCTCAGAGTGTCCCTTTCTCTTGTGTCATTTGTGTCCGAGACATGCCAACAACAGAAATGAAATGTCAGTGCCTGAGTACATGTGGATCCCAGATTCTGGCCACAACCCACACTGAGAGAGGATTACTTTGGGTTATGACTTCTTGCCAGCACTTTTACATGAGTTCTTGTCCCTTGCTGTGAGCACATTGGAAGTGGGTCAATTAGTTAACACTAACAAGTTATCACAGAGTTTATTAAGCAATTGGGCTGGACAGATTATCATTATCAGGGATTTTGAGAAGTGAAAACACGAATCAAAGACCTTACAGTAAATGACACTGAAAAGTAGTGGTTTATTAATTCTGTTAATAAAATTAAAATCCAAGCACCAGGGAAACTCTTTCTGATAAGAACTAAAAGAGATTAAATACCTGGTATTACAAGATAGGCAACAACTGGCCAAATTAGAAGGACTTCAGGGATAATGGTTCTGCAGAAAGCAGATATAGCATATGTGCTGAGGTTGCTTTTACCTAAATGAGCTTAACACTCACCTCCAGTCCTCGGGCTCAATTATTGTAAGAGAGAGATCAAAGCTGTGTGTTAGCCATTATGGAAAAGGAGTTATGAAAAGCTGTCTCATGGGGGTGCTGACTGTGTGGCTATCTCATTTAGCTGCACACCTTGCTTTCATCTTGATCCCTGCTACCTCCTTGTCATCTGCCTGCTAACCCCGCCACAGGCTGTCACTCCTTTTTCTCTCACTGCAGCTCCTGATTACGGATTGCCTTTTTGCCCTCTCTAATGCTGTAGCTACAGCTTTTTGACAGGTTCTTTACTCTGCTGAGTTTGTGTGTTCTAAAGCACCTTTGCCATAATCCCTGGATACTGGGGGCAATATGTGCCAAAGAACAGGCTTGGGTTGTGTCAACCAGGTTTTAATTTTCACTTCCCTAAAATAAAATCTGCCATCTTCAAAGTGTCACTTGGCAGCTCAGGTTCTATAATCTGGGTATTTACAAAGTAAGCTCCCAGTACTGACTATGCTGTTCAAATCTGACAATGAGTTTGTTCTCAAACCTCACCAGGGTTTATGAATCCAACACCTTCACGTTTCACCACTTCTTCTGGAGAAAGGACACCTGCCAAGTCGATCCCACAGAAAGACAGATCTGTGGTATGGCAGGCACCCCACCATGCTGTGGTGGTCCAGCAAGCCAGTGGATAGATCTTCAGGACAATTGGCAGTGGGCAGAAACTGAAGCACAGGTAGTTCCACTTGAATGTGAGGAAGAACTACTTTGCTCTGCAGGTGACCACAAACTGGAACAGACTTCCCAGAGAGGGTGTGGAGTTTCCCCCACTGGAGATATCCCAGAACCGTCTGGATTCAATCCTGTGTCATGTGCTCTGGGATGACCCTGCATGAGCAGGGAGGTTGGACCAGACGACCCACTGTGGTCCCTTCCAACCTGAACTGTTCTGTGGTTCTGTGATCCCTTATTGTGGATATCAAAGATCTGAGGTTTCAGTGCTCCTCTCCACCTGTGAGGATGCAAACTTGTCGCTACGGAAGCACACTAACTGCCAATCTCAGAGTATTTCAGGATAGTTGTGGTTGATTTCCCTCAGCTATCTCCGCCTTCCAGCTCAAGAAACCAAGCCCCCCCATTCCACAGAGCTACATAAACTACAGGGTGAGGGAGCCGTGGCTGGTCAGCCCAGACATCCTCCCTCAGCTTGACCTACACTCCTTTTCTCCCCTTCAAAGCCCCTGGACAAGCACAGGGATCCGGAACATCCCTGTTACAAGGAGAGACTGCGGGAGCTGCGCCTCTGGAGAAAAGTCTGGAGAAGACTGAGAAGGATTCTCATGAATGCATACAGATATTTCAAAGGCAGGTGCCAAGAAGGTGGTACCAGACTCTTTATCAGTGGTGCCCAGCGAGGGGATGAGGAGCAATGGCCATAAACTAAAACGCAAGAAGTTTCTCTCAGCGTGAGGAAGAACTTCTTTACGTTGAGGGTGTGAGAGCACTGGAACAGGCTGCCCAGGGAGGTCGTGGATTCTCCCCCTCTGGAGACAATCCAAACCCACCTGGACGCATTCCTGTGTCAACTGCTCCAGGTGACCCTGCCTTGGCAGGGGTGTTGGACTGGATGATCTCCCTTCCAGCCCTAACGATTTTGTGACTCTGTACTTCCCAAAATAAACACCTCCGTGAGGGGCTCTACACTTCAGAGAGCGCTGAAAAGGACGTTGCAAGCCCCGTGGGACGAGCAGGGAGATGCAACGCAAATC